TGTATTCTTCACTGGAGTTTTTGGTTATTTCTACTCAACTTTAGCATTTGACTAGCAACTGAGGGATGGACATTTCTCTTGCTAATTGGAGCTGCCTTAGACCTCAGCTTGCTATCCAAGCCTAAACAGGCCTGTAGGAGCAAAGCAAAAAAGATCATGTTTGTTTTTGCACAGCTTGCTGATTCCTAAGTAACTTTTCTAAGAGGTGTAAAACCTAGTCATCACTTACTGGCTCATTTCTTTTAGGCATGTTACCAGAAAGGGATCATAAGGAGAGGTTTAAAGGAAGAGAAGACAGTAGCCTTAGAGATTAATTTGGGGATGGCATTCGTCACATATAGATTAAAGTCACGTAGAGGCATAAAGTCTAATGATTAGGGTGCTAGCCTATATCTTGGGGAACCTGTGTTCAATTCCCTGTCCTACCACAGGCTTCTGCATGTTGTTGAGGAACTGCACGCCTCTGCTTCCCATGTGAAATGGGAGTAGTCAAAGGAGTATTGTGACTATTTAAAATACATTAAAGATTTTGAGGCACTTGGCTATAACAGTGATGGTGGACATAGAATTACCTCAGATGACTGCGTTAAAGATTAAACAATCCCCATAAAGTTTTTACTTATGTACCATGTTGCCTGTACCCATAGGTGGCTGACATAACTGTTTGCTAGGACTTACAAGGGAGTTGTCTTTTTTTCTTCCTCCCCATAAAGGTAGTGACTAGTTTCCTTCAGCATGCCAGATCCGTTGTGTGTTCTCATTACCAAGGTTCCACGCTGACGGATTCCTCAGATTCATTTTCCCTTTGTGTGTCAATCCATGCTTATATTGGGAAGTTTTGCCTCTCTTTCCACCCGTATATTAGATCCTACCTCGTGCCTTGTACTAGTTATGCAGATCTCATTGTAGTATTTTTCTTCTTTCTAGGAAAAAACAGTGATGAACAATCTAAGTTCCGGCCACTGTACATGGATGTCCAAGCAACTACTCCTCTGGTTTGTAAAATGAAGTGATGGGAATATATCAAACATACTATAACCCTGTAGTTATAACCAGCTGAAGCACATGAACAATGTCAAGTGCAGACTTCAGTAGCTGAAACAGAATGCTTCTGAGGAGTTCACGAAAAGTTGTCCTGGAGTAATACTGTTTTCAGTGCAGTACTCTGACCCAAAAGAATGATTCTATGTTAATGAAGAACCAGGATCTACTTTTCTAGATGTGCTTGTACCACATTATTCCTTCTGTTGAATTATTTGTCTTGGCACAGCAGATTCGAGCTATTTTACTGCTACATAATCTCACTTCCACTTATTTTTCTGCTCCTAGCTCTTTCCTTTTCATTTGCTGCCTCACCATACCTGCCAACCATTTGCTGCTCATTTCTTCTAGCTCTTCCCTTCTCTTTGCTGCCTCCCTAAGGAACACAGAAAACAGAGGTTGGAGGAAAGGGGTTGTCGTCTTAGTTGAATATAAAGTTTGCTTATGCAGTTTAAGGTCCCTTGCTTTGTTGTGATGACTGTGGCGATAAGCAGCTAAACCAAATCAGCAGAGGTCTGCACTTAAAGTTCTTTTAATTCGGTAACAAAGGAGGATTAGGGCTTTCTCCAGAGATTTTTTTTTCTTTTTTGCTTAGTATACCTTTATTATGATTAGCATGTTTGTCATCAACATGAACTTACTTTTATGGAGGCTCTGAGGTTTACTAATGATGGAAGATGTAGTAAATGTACCTTACGGCAGTGATTTATCATCTGCTCACTTACAATTTAAATCTTGTAATGATGGAGTTGTCTTGGATAAAATGCAGTTTTTTTCAGACCTATGTTGCATAATTTCCCATAACTCTGGATCTTGCATTTTTTCTGTTTTGTTCTCCTGAATCTGGTTTGTGATATGGATTGAGATTTAACTTGAAGGAGTGTTGTGTCTCATTGCAAGATGTCATTAGGAAATATTTACCAGGCAGTCACTGAAGAGGTTAATACAGAAAATGCCTGTATTTTCACAATATTTTGAGATAAGCTAGCTCCTTGCTTGGAATAAAGCTGAGGGTGTATGTTATAGTGAGAGGTCTTTGAAGAAGGAAAGAGGAAGGAGAAAGAGAACGCATTTCTTTTAACACTGTATGTTTTATCTTGTAGGACCCTAGAGTTTTGGACAGCATGCTGCCTTATCTAATATGCTACTATGGCAACCCCCATTCCAGAACTCATGCCTACGGCTGGGAGAGTGAGACTGCCATGGAACAAGCTAGACGGGTGAGGCTTTTCAGTTTTCGTTGTGTATATTTGAGCTCTTGCTCATGAGCTAATTACTGATCTAACTTAAAAGCAACAACAAGAACATCCTAGTAATTGTAGGTTTACTTCCTTGGAGGCTAGAGTTGTCAACTTGATTTCTTCCAATAACTAAAGAGTTTACAATGTAATAGCTATTTATATTGTTATAATATAATTTAGCAACTCAAAAAAGAATACGAGAATGTGATATTAAAGCAATGTAATGCTAGGAAAAAATGACTCGGACAGGAGATTGTTAAATTGTTAAAAAGTAACGGGTAGTATTTGTAATCTTGTACATTCTAGGCTAGCGGGGCTGAGGCTGTTAAGGGAGGCATTGTGCGTATTCCCTGTTTGTTTTAAAAAAAAAAATGTTCATATCTTAAAATACCAAATCATATTTTATTTCTTTTAAACAGCAAGTTGCATCATTAATAGGAGCTGATCCTAGAGAGATTATTTTTACCAGTGGTGCTACTGAATCCAACAATTTAGCAATCAAGGTAGGTGGTTGCTTTAAACAGAGATGCACAGTAAAATTACAATGAAATCTGAAAGAGTTTGGAATTAAAATCCTACTGCTAAAAACTGTTTTATTTGTGGTTCAGAAGTGCTTATAAATAAACATTTCATTCCATCCAGGAAGCTTCCTTAGCCTGATGAAGGATTTTTGAACCCGAAAGCTTGCTTAATAACCATTGTCCAACCATTTGGGTTGGTCTAATAAAAGATATCAAATTCACCCAAGGAACCTTGCCTGCCTATAAATAAACAATGATTCCAGTCGGAGTATTTTGGTTTTATTACATTCTTGGGTAGCCTAACCTGTGACACACAGGAGCAGGCTAATCATGCTATAGAACAGGTGTAGGGAGTGGCCATAGGCTTTATTAGGCTTTCGACTGCTTAGTAGTGAAAAATTCAACTTAATATCTGCCTGAAGTTGCTTATTTAGAGTTAAGATAAGAGAGGAAGAAGCAAATTAAATGATAATCAATGAAAGAGCCTCATGGATGAGAAGAATTCAAAATGCAGAAGAAAGTCAGTTAAGTAAAGTAGGTGAATTTAGGGTCACTTTGGGCTATATTTGTGGTTTTGTACTGGTTAAATCAGGTTTTACTGCAGAGGCAGCTATGTCATTGACTGTCCTTGAGAGAGAACTGGTACATTCAGTTACTAAATTAGAAAGAATGACTTCATTCTCTTTATCATTATATATATTTATTTATTTATTATTATTCATAGAATCATAGAAATGTAGGGCTGGAAGGGACCTCAGGAGGTCACCTAATCTTCTCCCTACTCAAAAGAGAATCAACCCTGACTCCCTGACTACATTATCCCAGCCAATATTTGTCTTATCTTCTCTTAAAAATTTCCAAGGATAAAAATTCTACAACCTCTCTGGGTAGCCTGTTCCAATACTTAACCATCTTCATAGCGAGCAAGTTCTTCCTGATAGCCCATCTAAATTTCCCTTGTTGCAATTTGAGACCATTGCTCCTAAGCCAGTTTTCTGTGTCCTCAAATAATAGCTCTGTCTCTATCCTCTTTATAACTACCCTTCAGGCATTTGAAGACTATAATCAAATTCCCCTTGGTCTTCTATTTTCTAGATCAAATAATCCCAGTTCTTTCAACCTTTCATCTTTCAGCCTTTTACTGTAAGACATGTTTCCAAGATCCCTTTTCATTTCTGTTGCTCTCTGCTTGACTCTTTCTAATATGTCCTCATCTTTCTTGAAGTGCAGTGCCCTGAACTGGGCATTGCACTCCAGGTGAGGTCTCACCTGTGCTAAAGAGAGAGGAAAAATCACTTCCCTTGACTAGCAAGTGACACTCCTGTTAACACGAGTCAGTGTGTTCTTGAGTTGTTGCAAAAACAAAAAACAGCAGTGTTAGCTCGTATTCTGCTTACAGTACACTCGAACAGCAGGTCTTTTGTGCAGTACTGTAGCCTTGCCTGGCATTTCACATTCTATATTTACGCACGCATTTGTTCCACTAAGTGCAGGTCCTTGTATTTCTTTTTATCGAATTTCATTTGATTATTTTTGGACCATTTCTCCAGTTAATCAAGGTAAATTTTAAATGTTAATCCTACCGCCTGGACTGTCCGCAACCTCAGCCAACTTGATGTCATTTTCCAAATCACTAATGAAGAAATTAAACGAAACTGAACCTAGGATGGATCCCTTTGGAACCCCACTTAATACTTCTTCCCAACTAGACTTTGAGTCATTGGATTACTCTTTGAGCACTATTATCAACCTGTTATGTATCTGTCTTGCAGTACTTTTTTGCCCACCTGTGGTTTAAAAGATCCAGCTGCAGGCTGGATCCAGCCCATGGAGGGGCTTTGTTTGGCCCATGATGGGTGTTGCCTGGCCCAGGCACTGTCCGGCTGTGGTGTGTCCTGCCGCCCCCTGAGCACGCAGGGGGCTGGGGCAGTTCTGCAGCTGGACTGCCTTTCTAGGCAGACCAAGCAGCAGCTGCTTCCATCTGCTGCCACCGCTGGCCCCAGCCCTGCAGTACCAGTGGGGACCTGCTCCACAGCCCTGACACAGTGCGCCCTGCATCTACTCCGGACTCACTTGCTCACACTAAACAGTGGCAGCAGCAGTACCGGCTGGGCAGGAACTTGCTCAGCTATGCATGTGTGTACCCCCCC